GCATGTTTTTTTTACAAAATAGTTTAAAAGATTTTTAGATGACTCCACATCTTTCAATAATGATATTTAAAATTTTAGATACTTTTACATATGTTATATAATATTTTAGACGTTTTTAATACTTTAAACAATCATTTTTTTCAAAATTCTTTTATACAAGATAATTATATATTGTTTACAACTCATATACGATAAATTATATTACGTATGAAGTTTACATCTTTAATTTATAATTATTAGTTAATATTATTTAACTTCATCTTTAATATATAATCATTAACTAATATTATTTACCCGTGCATCGCACGGGATACGCACTAGTATACCTTAACAAAATATACACGTGTTGTATACATCAGTTAATAGAAATATAAAATACTCATATTTTTTATATATATGTATGTAATTTTTCTATTACCAAATTTAATTGATAGTTGTTGTGTTATGGGTTTTTCATAATTGTTACTTGGTTGTTGTGATATTTAGTTTAGTTGGTGTCGCAAAAATTCTAATATATATATATATATATATATATATATATATATATAATAATTATTATAATGCAAATTAGAAAAATATTAATATTAGAAGAGATTGAGTTCATGACTTTTCTTAAATCAAACTTGTTTAATTAGTATACAAAATTAAATTCTAAAAAAATATATGTGTATATTTTGTACATTGTTTATACACTATTTAATTTTAAATTTATTTACATATTTTGAATTGATTAATTATATAAATAATACCAACGTGCATTAAATATACTTCATTACATAAAATAAAAAGAACAAGAAGACGTGCAACTTCTATAACTTTATAAATAATAATGACATTATATGGCAACAGAGTTTATATAGTAAAATAATAATTAACTATTATATAGTGAACAAGAATAAGTAAAATTGTTATTTTCTCTTATATCAAGGAATAAATATATATAATAAAATTAAATTTATATTAGTATAAATGTGTTAGTGAGATAATATATTAATTATTTTACAAGTTAGCCCTAACATGCTCACGTTTAATGTTCTGACTAATAAAACAACGCTAATTAAAAGATGTGAAAAATAGATTACAACCCTATTTTTTTAGGCTTAACGGTGATTAAAAGAGGTGAAAAATTGATGATAACCCTTTTAAGACTTAAACGGGACTTAACGGTGATTAAAAGAGGTGAAAAATAGATGATAACTCTTCTCAGACTTAAACGGACAGAGCCTGTGAAAATAATTCATTTAATACCTCTCTCTCGTGCATTGCACGGGGTACGTACTAGTTTTTTTAATAATGGTCAAACATGTTGTGGCAATACGATAAATAAATGAACATGTTGGGGTCAAATATATACATTATACCATTAAGTAAGGTCAAAATAGACATTACACATTCTCCAATCATCTACCCACCCGTGCCCCCAATCCATCACTCTCTCTCACACACAAACACACACTCCCTCTCTTTTCTATTACGCACGCACACACACACATATACACACACAAAAAAACACACATATACACACACAGCTACGTCGTCGCCACCACACACACACACCTGCAGCCGCCACCATCCGCCTCCCACAGCAACGAGCTTCGCCGCTTGCCGACGAAACTCCGACAGTCGGCTATTCTCCTCCGACGAGCATCCACAGCCAGAAGTTCTCCGCCCACCACCACTGCAAAACACTCCACACCAGCGCCACTGTCAGCGACCACCATCATCGCCGTCTTAACAGACGGCCGCCGCCCACCCCATCTCTCACACACTAACACACATCTTACAAATGTTGGAATCTGTGAGGATCTCGTTATGTACAAATCACGAATTCAATAGCAAACGTAAACCTATGCGCTGCGGATCTAAAGGTTTGACGTAGAGAACTTACGACTTAAAATTTTCTGAATCTGATGAATTTGGGATAACCGAGAACAACACACGAACGAAATTGGATCACGATTGGAACGTCGGGCTCGCGATCAGGTCGTGTGGGGCTGTCGTGTTGTCGCCGGTTCGCGCGGGTGGCTATCGGTTCGTCGCAGGAAAAGCCGTCGGCTGGTCCCGATCGGCGCGTCTCCTCCGGCTGGTCTCGGTGGTCGGCGGTGATCGGAGTCGCAGGTCACGGTCGGCGGGTCGTGGCTCGTCGGTTCCAACAGATGATCACCGGGTCTCGATTATCTATGAATCTTCTATTGTATTACTCAAACACCTTCTTCAACTTGTACCAGTAGAGCAACAAGAAGAAGATAAAAGCTCGAAAGAGAACTGATGGACAGAGAGAGAGGCGGGTTGTGCGTGTCTCGTGAATTATGACAAATTCGTTCTCTTCTCATGAGCTTAATAATGTATATATAGAACTACAGTAGGGACCCTTATGAGATTAAAAATAGAGCTCCTTAATTAATTAGACTAACTGTGGGCCAGACCCACTCTTCTAATTAATTAAATAATATTATAGGGCACCAACATAATATTATTTCATTCCCTTTTCCTAGCCCAAATTATATTTAAGACTCCAATTATAATTACTCGATTTACCTCGTCACGTTTAAGATATAATGTCCATTAATTAATTCGATTACTGATAATTAAAAATTAATTAATTTATTATTATTTCACCAAATCTGGCGCTTGTTCATCACATACTTATTATACCGTAACTTAATCCACCTGCAGGGTTTAGCATAACAATCCTTCATGAACTCACTCCGGGACCATCATCAAACTAACGCACATGGTGACCGTAAATATCCTAACAACACATCCTATATATAGTAATATTACCCAAAACAATAGGAATATTAATCCAGCGAACTTAACCTCACCCAAGTGAATCAAAGTAATATGTACTACATATATATGTCTGTTTAATATCTTACGGGTTAAGAGTACGCAGTAATTAACCAAGGCCTAGTTCGTTTACGATGATCAATATAAAACGAAATTCTCCTCACTGGGATCCTGTTCAATACATAAATGTACTAGTGCAACAAATCAGTCAATAAATAAATTTACAGTTGACACTACAACCGTTCGGATGGGGTATTCATGTCCATCTAGGTTGTGAACCACAATTCTAGTTTTGCAAGTAACAAATAGAATGATTTTCGGTTCGCCCGATGACGACCCACTCTATCTAAGTAAAAGCAACAGAACATAGAATTTGTTTAATCTAACATAATTCTCATTCATAAAGGGTAAAAGTGTAATAACATACAAAGCAAAGCTTTTAGTATATAACACTAACAATCTCCCACTTATACTTAAAGATTTCGCCTTTACAGTATAGACCTATCAATCCGTTATTCTAAAAGAGTCGATCCTATTTACATGCACCTGACTCCCATTCCTTTCACGTGTTTGACAAAGACCTTCTCCAACAAACTCTTCACGAAAGGATCAACTAGGTTGTCCTCTGATGCAATCTTGGCAGCATCAACGTCTCCTCTACCAACTCTATCTCGAATCAGATGGTACTTGCGCTCTATGTGTTTGCTTGCTCTGTGAGCTCAAGGTTCCTTTGAGTACACTACTGCTCCACTGTTATCACAGTACACGGTGATACAACGTGGCAAACTCGGAATCACCTCTAAATCCACTAAGAAGTTTCTGAGTCAAACTTCCTCTTTCGCTGCCTCTGAGGCTGCTATGTACTCGGCTTCCATGGTAGAGTCTGCCACGCATTTCTGCTTAGTGCTCCTCCATGAAATGGATCCACTTCCCAAGGTAAACACATAACCTGAGGTTGCCTTAATTTCGTCCCTGTCTGACTGGAAATCAGAATCACTATAACCCAGAGGTAACAAGTTGTCTGCACGGTAAGCTAACATGTACTCCTTAGTCCTTCTCAGGTACTTGAGTATATATTTCACCGTAGACCAATATTCCCGTTCCGGATTAATTTGATATCTAGCTACCATGCCAACGGTAGCTAATATTCAGTCTAGTACATAGCATTGCATACATAAAACTTCTTATTGCCGGAGCATAAGGAACTGTCTTCATGTCCTCTATCTCTTGAGGAGTCTTGGGAGACATCTCCTTGGACAAAGGTATTACATGTCTGAAAGGTAGCATACCTTTCTTGGAATCCTGCATGCTGAATCTGGCCATGACAGCCAAAAGGTCTCGAATGTGTCCTAATATATACCAAGAATGTGTCCTTCTTACGGTCTCGAATGTGGCTAATCCAACATTCTCTTCTTACGGTCTCGAATGACCCTAATATATACCAAGAATGTGTCCTGCTTCACCTAAGTCCTTCATATCAAACTGCTTAGACAACCACACCTCTACGTCTGATAACTCCTTCTACTGTTTTCAATAAATAGTATGTCATCTACGTAAAGCACAAGAAACACCACCACGCTCCCATTGATTTTCTTGTAAACACAGTGCACATCCGGACATTGAGTGAACCGTACGACTGGATCACCTCGTCAAAACGAATGTTCCAAGATCTCTAAGCTTCCTTCAGTCCATAAATAGACTGAGTAAGCTTACACACTAGATGCTCACGTCCCTCAGCAATGAATCCCTCTGGTTGCTGCATATAGATGTCTTCCTGAAGGTTCCCGTTAAGAAAAGCCGTTTTGACATCCATCTTCCATACCTCATAATCCATATGGGCGGCTACAGCCAAAAGGATCCGAATGGACTTAAGCATAGCTACTGGCGAAAAGGTCTCATCATAATCAATATCTTCGATCTGGGTATAACCTTTCGCAACAAGCATGGCTTTAAAGGTTTGCACATTCCCATCCGATCCTCTCTTTCTGTTATAGATCCACTTACATCCAATGGGTCGTACCCCTATCGGGTGGTTCTACAAGATCCCATACTTGATTGGAGACCATTGACCCTATTTTAGCTTTCATTGCAACATTCCATGAATCTGTATCTTTATCTTGGAGTGCCTCATCATAAGTTCTTGGGTCCGATTCTAGATCTCCTGAAACTGAATTTGATGACTCTCCAAGACCTATCCATAGGTCGGGAAAATGAGAAACCCTCCCACTATGACGAGGTACTGTCTGCATTGGTACACTCTCAGTGTGCCGTGTTACGGTATTATGTGATGTATCTACTTGCATACTCGGTGGGGAACCATCGACTTCACTCCTTAACTCCTCTAAGATTAGTCTACTTGCGGGCTTATGATTTATAATATAGTCTTCTTCCAGGAATCTAGTGTTCATCGAAACGAGCACCTTCTGATCCTCAGGACTATAAAATAATCCACCTTTCGATTCCTTTGGATAGTCTAGCGCCCAGTTTATTTATGGATTATTTATTATTATTATTATTATTATTATTATTATTATTATTATTATTATTATTATTATTATTATTAAATGCCTAATTGTCTTTAAATGCCTAAATGTTTATTATGTTGGGTTCGTTAGTACCGTACGGGCTGTACGCAGCGGAATTTAAAATTTTTAAAGTAAGTATTTATCGTATAAATACAACACCCGTACATACTAATTGCGAATTAACAGATCGTCATCTTTAAAATATGCATCATATACAAATTTTGATTTGTTATAATAAAGTAAATACTAATACGAAATTTTTACCGAGTGTCTTGAACTCCTTCAACAAAGATGTGGATTGTGGGAATCGGTTCCCGGTTGTAACTTCAACGGCTTGAGGTTACTCGCTTTAGGAATCCAAATGTCTTCCCTCTAATCGTATCCACCCTATGAAGCCCGGTTCCGACGACCTTTCTTCACTAGTAGAAATGTCTCGGTTTTCTTGTATAGGAATATATATATATATATATAATTTGGGAATTATCAAGAACACTTTCTTGAAATATATGAAGAACACTTTCTTCTCTCTTTGATTTTCTCACAAAATCACTTCACATCTTTGCAAACATTTTGCATCTATTTATACTAAACATTTTAGCATAAAATAATCAATATTTAGTAATATTTAAATAAAATCAAATTTTATTTAAATAGTATTTACTAACCATTGACTTTGAAAATAATAAGATATGTTAAGTAGTTCAAACAACCATTAACAACCATTTTATTATAATCATATTTCTTATTTTAATCCTTAAATCATATTTAAAGATATAAATAATAATTGGATAATAAATCTTGAGAATCTTTCTCAAGACTTTATTATTATATCATTTTCCCAATCTTATAATAATCATATTATTATTATTTTGGATTTGAAATTTAAAATCCTATTTTAAAATTCAACTTTATTAATTTAGTAATTACTTTAATTACTAAAGTAATATCCAAAATGTAATTAATCAATCTTATTGATTAATATATTCCTTTAATTGACATCTAATCAAATTAGATATTTATCAATTAATTCTAACCATTAGAAATACAATCTTTACCTTTGTTCATAATTAGTGTGACCTTTTAGGTTCACTATTAATACTAGTAGTGGGTTTACAACACTTTGTAATTTGAGTTAAATCTTATTAACTCTTATTCAAGAATTAACCCCTTAATTCATGAACCCACATATCATGGTAACACCTAGCAAGTATCATGAATCTAGTATTAAGTGAATAGCGAGTAAACCTATTCCGATTACAACTCCATACATGTAAAATCCTTTCGACATCTAATTTCCCGATTAAGTCTTGGGTATGATTTTGTCGAAACCCAAATTGACTTAATAACTATGATTCTATTTCATGTTTATTAACCCGGTTATGAATCACTATTCATCTCTGCCTTGGCCAAGGACTTTGGATTAATAACTATGAAACACATAGGAAATTCACTTATCTTCATAAGTGTCGAATCCTTTATTGGCCACTAACAAACTTCCATACATATTAACATAATACCCAACTTATCCCTTTAAACGATAGTGCTAGCTACCAAAAGGATAAATCAAAGTAGAATGTAATATGCACAAAGTTACCATTGTGCCTCAAGTCTTAGGATTAGTCATGTACTATTGTAACATGAAAATTCTTATTCGACTGAATAAATTCTTCATTAAGAATTTTCATACGGTCATGTTCAGTGAACTTGTTCTCTAACAAGCACCCACATAAATGTACTTACGTCTTACGCTAATGTTGATGGAATGCAACATTCTTGTCCAACAAGCATACAAACTATGTGCAAGTCTTTTATGGATTATTCGATATCCCATCTCGAAACATCCATCGACTTGGAACTGTATTTAAGATCACGGCTTTCAAGGTATGTTCCATGATCACCATCTCTATGCGCAACCATACCTTATAACCATAAGTGATCTAGGGATTTTATCTTAAGTGCAATTATAAGATAAATGCTTTCTCTTAAGATAAAGAAATGCCTTATTCATAATATAATTCCAATAGACTGTATTTACAAGTAGAATACGTCCAATTAGATTGGAACGCCGGGTACCCTACTCTAACATATTATTATTAATTAATTAATGTGTGTATTATATATATATATATATATAAATATTATCTGAATTTTATTTTAAATTGTCGTGCGATCAACCGAGCTAGTTTTATTGTCGGAATAAATCGAGCCCGAGAATCCAGAATCGAGCCTTATTATTTTCAGCCCAAAAGAGCTAAATATTCTGGCCTTTTTGTTCAAGTATTAATCGGCCTTTTATTTATTTTGGCTTAGTAGCTTTTATAATCGGTCCTAAACCGCCCAAAAACCCGACCCGGTTTCTTTCCCCGTGCGTGTGTGTGAGTGTGTTTACTTGTGAGAGAATATTATTAAACCTAGTCCCTATATACCTCTATCTCTCTCTCAGCAACAAAACAATCACGCTGCAACCCTCCTCTCTCGATCAGATAAAACGTTCCCGCAGTCATTTTCTCTCTCAAAAATCTGATCTTTTCTCCTCCCCCTCACGCAAGGAAAATCTTTCCGTCGCCATAACCGATCGTCACCCTCACCATCTCCTCTCCCCCAGTCGAAATCCGATCGCCCCTCACCACCTCTAATGCTCGAAATCTGGCCGTGCCAATCGCTACAACTCCGAGCGCCGCTGCTACTCCGACGATTCACGCGAGCCTATCTTCGACCGCCGCCTGCTCGCAAACCCTCGGCAACCAGCAACAACCGGCGAGCCCTCTGTTCCCTCCGCGAGCAGCAACCGTGCCGGCCTTCGATGAACCTACAACCACAGCCACCAAGAATCGCCGGCGAGCTCTTGACCTCCGCCAGCAACGGGCCGCGCGTGACGAGCAGCAGATTCCGGTGAGCCCCTGTCCACGCGCAGACGACCCCACAGCATCTCCGGGGATTCCCGTTCACGCAGGAGCCGTTCGCGAGATCCTCAGCGACGAGCCAACAACAACTCCTTCGCGAGCCCTTCTTAGTCCGCGACCAGCAGCAAGTCGACGCCCTCCTCCCTTCGTGACCGAAAACGACAACCTCGCGAAGCTTTTCCGGCGAGCCTTGTCCGGCGAGTCCTGTCCGTGCTCAACCACCGCCGCGAACCGCCCTTCTCCACCGCGAGCTCTTCTCCTTTGCGAGACGAAGCGCAGCCGTCAAGCCCATTGCCGCCGCCGCGAGCCGCCTTCGACGTGGCCTTCCGATTTCGAAGGATTCCCGAGAACGGTACCGAGGCTTTAACCTTAGCCCTTTTGATATATATATGTCGTGTATTTTATGTGTTGGCATGATATAATTCAATGTTGATACAAGAATGATAATATGGATCCTTGTTGTGAATAAATTATGAATTGATCTCGTCGATTTTGAGAAATCGAACGAGACCTCGTAAGTTCGTGTGAGTGCTGTGTGAAATTGGAACATAAAGGACCCTTGGCCTTATGGTGAAGGCCTCGGGCATTTTCGGGTTGTGTCGAGTCAATTATGAAGTGTCGAACTCGTATAATTGCTGAATTCGTATTAAATTCATGATAAATTCCACACTGATCCGATTGATGTGAAATTTTATATGCTATGTCCTCTGATGAGTATAAAGCTCGTGTAAAAATTTCATAATTTTTCTCGGCCTGTAGCTAATTTGGTTAATTAAAGGTTAATTAAATTAATTTCTGGACAGAACTGTGTTAATTGCATAATAAATTGTGTAGTGCTCCAAATTGGCTGAATTTTAGTATGTTGTCTCTATGGCATGTTTATACGTTGTGTTAGCCTCTCGATGTGGGCTTCATGGCAATCGGTACGGTTGTTCCCGTATGATGAAATACGGTTACCCTTACGAGGTAAATCTCATTAAGACCTATGAGAAGGCTGTGTCATTGATGTGGCACGCGCTCCCATGTTTCATTGATATGGCATGGCTGAGCTTTGATGAGTGTAGATGTGCACATGAGTGAGTCTTTGATGAGACTAGAGTCATTGATGTGACTAGAGATGAGACATGATGTTTATTGTTTATGTGCATGCTGCGACCATACCATCTTAACATATTCTCAGTTGTTTCATATGCATAGTGTGAGTACAATATTTTCCAACTGTACTCACTCCCACCTGCTCTTCATGGATGCAGGTTAAGCAGTTGGTGGGTGACGAGGTAGGGCGAGTTGTGGTCTGTTTCATTTATTATGATTATTATTGCTTCCGCTTATTATGATATTGACAGACTGCTATTTAGACTTGGTTTTCTTTCCTGCATGATTGGGATTCTGATTTTGTCGTTTGAAACCTTGGATTATGTTTTTATTTCATGGTTTGGAAACTCATTGAATGCGAGTAAAGTTTTATAATTAATAGTTCTTGGTAGTTAAGTAGCGCCCACTGAGTTTTATAGATTTAATTTGAATTTTGAGAAAAATTAACCCTGATTTTTATTAAATAAATTCGATAAATCTTTTAAAATAAAATGGGGCATTACAGATAGCCCACGAAAACTCGTGCTTTCAAACGCTTTTCCAATTTGCCACCCTCCTGCACCAAAACGTGTGTAGGGTTATCCCATACTCGAATATGTGGATATCCTGGCTTGTGCCCTTTCCACAATCCGTAAGGAGTAGTCTCTACTGACTTGATGGAAACAAGTTCAGAATGTATGAAGCAGTTTCCAGTGCCATTCCCCAAAACGAATCTGGTAAGCCTGAATAACTCATCATCGACCTAACCATCTCCATAAGAGTCCTATTTCTTTGCTCTGCAACCCCATTCTGTTGGGGCGTGCCGGGTGCGATAAGTTTGGATTCAATCCCAACTTTCAATAAGTATGTCCTGAGTTCTCCAAAGAGGTATTCGCCACCTTGATTAGAACGAAGTGACTTGATACTTTTACCATGAAGCTTCTCCACAATTGCCCGATACTCCTTGAATTTCTCAAACCATTCGGACTTGCGGCGCAACAGGTAAACTGTAATGCCCTGTTTGAATTCTGGAATTTTGAGAGTTATTTATCAATATTATTATTTATATTTATTTGTTGTTATTATTATTGAATGCTATAAATTATTAATTGTCTGATATGATTTATCTTAATTGTTTAAATATTAATTAATTGTCTAAATGTCTAAATGCTATTATTATAAATTGTCAAATTGAGTGTTTATATTTTTACTATTATTATTATTATTATTATTATTATTATTATTATTATTATTTTATTAAAATTTAAATTGTGTATTATCAATATATATTATATATTTGGTTTATTTATTTAATTGTGCGAATTTATTTACCGAGCCCGTGAAATAGTATTATTTCTACGTAGTCGGGCCCGAGAGCCGATACGTTTTAGTTAACCGAACCCGCGAGCCCGATAATCCGGCCCAAGCCCGAGCCCAACCAATCCGGCCCGCGAGTGTGTGTCTTATTGGACAAGACATTAAACCTATATGTATAAGTATATATATGTATTTCTCCTCACTTTCTCGCACAAATCAGAAGAGAAGCCCCAAACCCGCAGCCTTCTTCATCATCGCGAACCTTTCTTGAGCAGAGAAAATATTCTTCCCCTACCGATCATCTCCTTTGCTGTGACTCCTCCGCCATCGTCATCAACCCTTTTCCTTTCTCTCGCCAATAATTTACCCGTCACCATCACCGACCTTCATCACCATGCCCGCTCGTCACCCTGTTCCGTGAAGAACCCCATCGCCGTGAGCCGCTGCATCTTCGTGAATCCCGCCGGCGACCTCCCGTTCGTGAGCAGCAGATCGTCGTGAGCCAGTCATCCCCTGCCGACGTGAGAATCCATTCGCACCACCACCATCTCCGAACTCCATCGCTGCCCCTCTCGCCGGGAACCACCACAGACCAGCGGCGACCCCGACGGCCACTTCCGACGAAGTCCAGCAACCTCCGCGACCACGAGCCACCACCGCAGCAACCTCGCGAATTCCGGCGAGTCCCGTTCACAACGTTGCAGCAACTCCACCGCAGCGACCAGCCGTCCTCCGGCGACCTTCCATTCACGAGCTGACCACCAACAGTGACGACGAGGACCTGCAGCGACCTAGCAGCCGTGAGCAGCAATCCCAGAGCCTTCGTCCTCCTCTCGTAGCCGTGTGTTACCGATTCGAGCCGTGTGTCCGTTCGGGCCCGTCAACTCTTGTGTTCGTTCCGTTTTTGTTCGATTCCCGAGAACGGTACTTGGGCTCGAGTCCCGTCACGTTAATTTTTGTGTTAAATATTAATGTGATTTGTTGTGAATTATCAAATCGAAAAATACGTAACTATTCAAGTGAAATCGTAAGTTGTTATTGTCCTATCGTGTTTAATAAGACCGAGTTGGACCTCGGACAACGTGTTTTTGATATATCGTATGTTCAAAGTCTTAAAGAATTGGTATCGAGGCTTGCTTAACATGTAAATTAAGTGATTTCGATGATATGATTGTTGTGCAAATGTTTCGAGTTGTTTAAAACATGAAAACCCAAATTTTCGAGCCTCAGTTAGGCTCTGTTTTTGTCGACCAAGGTGCTGTTTCATGGACAAGTGATCTTCATGAGTTTTGTAGTGCTCTGAGTTAGGTTTTATTGAGTTTTTGAATTTCGTGATTTGGATTTGAAATGGATTTTATATGAATTTACAAAGTTGGACCAGTATGCTGTTTTTATAAACTCGGACAGAAATTCTGACCAAAGTTCATGACTGTTTTAGATGGCCTTAACATGCCTGAATGAAAATGTGTTCTGCATGATTAATGTAGAATATGATGTAAGCTGCCTGTAGGAATTGGAATTTTGTAATTTAGAGTTTTGGTTGATTTTATATGATTTTTGTAAGTTGGATTTGTGCCCAGGAATTTGGAAGCAATGGCTGTGTGTATGCATGAAATGTATTCCCTGAGTGGATGTCTTTAACATGGTTATATGTAAAAATTCTCTTCATGATATTTGTAGCTTTCTCTGTGTAGTTTCTGTAGGTTTTGAGTTTGTATGATTTAGAGTTCTATAACTTGAGTTATTATTGTTTTACTGAAGTGCTGTAAGTTATCTATTTTTATATCTGGACTGCAGCTATGTTCTGTGTTATTGCTGAAATATCTATGTGACGAGGTCAGAATTTGCTAAAGTCGTATTCATAAAAATTGTAGCTTTATTTCTTATCTTTCTATGAGTACCGGATTCATATTTTTATCATGCCTATAGCTCGAGTAATCCTCAAAATTCTGCCACCCTGTTAGAATGTTTTTGACTGCACCCTTATGTGAATATTTGTTGATTTATCTTGTAGATAATGACCTCGTCTGATTTTAAGTTGTTCTTGAGAGTTGTAGATCTATGTCTTAGAAATCACATGCCACTTGTTTCATGTTTTTTCTATTCATGTGTTACTAGATGCGTTCATTTGAAAATTGCTGCGCATATCATGTTTTACAATAACAATAGTTTGATTCCGAAATTGGCACGCACCATCGAAATGCACGATTATATGACCTAAGTGATTTATTTCTTGATCTATGTAGTAGGCTTGGTCCTTAAATGTTCTTAGAGTTGAAAGTTAAGCAAGCCAAGATAACCATCAACCGAAAAGACTTAAACATAAAAATGTTTTCAAAGTATGCGAGCTAGGCTAAGTCAAGCGAGCTAGTTTTCAAAGCTTATATATATGTATAAGACTAGCGAGAATAAGATAAGCCTTGATAAGGTTCTAAGACAAGTCCCAACGAATGTAGGTAATTGAGGAGTCCAGCCTCGACCTACGCCTGTTGCTTGTCAAGTTATTTCAATCCGGAAATCCAAGTGGGTTTTATTTAAAATTTGCTATGCTGTAAATGTTATAAACGTATAACTTGTGGGTTTAATTCGAGAATTTGCTATGCCATAAATGTTATTACTGTTTTAATTACGGTATGATCAAAGTATGCATGTGGAACATATAGCCTTCGATGCGAGCTGTATCGGCCGTCGAACGGTTATCCCCGTAGCTATAGAACGTACCCGATGGGTAGTCTCCTTTATATTATGTTATGTATGGCCGTAAGACCAGGGCGTAGGCCACGACTGGTGATCTCCGCTTTGTAAGACCAATTCGTAGGTCTTGGCCGGGCGGGGTGGATTACTCCTACTGGCTGGGCATCGTTGTAAGACCAAGGCGTAGGTTTTGGCATTCGAATCGAGTATCAGCAGTAGTCTATGCGTAGGTGTGCACATGAGAGTTGACTCTGGGATAGGAGATGGGATAAATAATTGATTCGAATACATGCTGCGACCATACCTTATTGATGATTGATTACTGTTTCATTATTATGAATAATGTTTACTGCATAGTGGTGAGCACTACCTTTTCCAACTGTGCTCATCCCCACCTGAAATTCACGTTTCAGGTTAAGCGAGGCAGGTACGACGGCGGAGTAGAGCGAGTGGTGGTCGGTCTATGAGACCGGTGTTATTATTGTTTATGCTTCCGCGTTATGAACTGATTTATGATTTGAGAACATGGGATAATATTGAATTTATGACTTATGAATATTATGATTGAATTAATGTTAAAGGAGATGCTCCTTGGATACTATGAATATTGTTGAAACCCGGTTTGGGTGACTTATGAATTTTGGAAAACCCGTTTGGGAGTTAGTAAAATTGATGATTGATGATCGATATTGATAATCGATTCAGTATTGAGAAGTTGGATAAGTATTGAAGTTTGTTTTGAAAATGAGTAGCGCCTCAGGTGTTTTGAAATAAATTTGAAAAATTTATTCTGATTTTCGGCAAATAAAAGTGGGGCGTTACATAAACGTACCCAAATCTCGAGTAATCATTATAAAAGACACATAATACTCGAAACCACCTCTAGCCTTGATCGACATTGGACCACATAAATCAGAATGAATCAATCCTAGCACTTCTTGGCTCCTATACCCCTTTGCCGTAAACGTACCCAAATCTCGAGTAATCAATGGACCGAGATATCCACTGGCCACTAACTTTTGAATCCTCCTAAGGTTGATGTGCCCAAGTCTAAGGTGCCACTGATATGCTTGATTCATATGCGAAGACTCCTTCCTCTTATTAGACTTAGTCATGATATTATTCAATTCAATTTGTTGCTCTGTGGGATAGTTTGGTTTGAGAACATACAAATTGCCAACTAATGAACCAGAACAAATGAAATGATTTTCATAATGAATAATAACCATGTCATCAAACGTAAATGAAAAACCATCCATAACGAGTTTAGAAACTGAAATTAGATTTTTTCTAAAACTAGGAACATAAAGGCAATGTCTCAAAACCAAACTACTACTATCAAAAGATAAAGTAGCGTCTCCCACTGCAACAGCCACCACTTTCGTAGCATTGGCCATGTAGACGGTGATCTCTCCCTCCCTAAAGCTCGAATGAGAACTGAGAGAGAGAGAGAGAGAGAGAGAGAGAGAGAGAGAGGCGGGTCGTGCGTGTCTCGTGAAATATGAAAGATTCTTTTCTCTTCTCATGAGCTTAATAATGCATATATAGAGCTACAGTAGGGACCTTTAGGAGATTAGGAATAGGGCTACTTAATTAATTAGACTAACTTTGGGTCAGGCCAACTCTTCTAATTAATTAAATAGTATTATGGGCCACCAACATAATATTATTGCAATCCCTTTTCCTAGCCCAAATCACATTTGAGACTCCAATTATAATTACTCGATTTACCTTCCCACGTTTAATATAAAATTTTCATTAATTAATTCGATTACTGATAATCAAGAATTAATTAATTTATTATTATTTCACCGAAGCTAGCGCTCGTTCATCACATTTTTATTATGCCAGAACTTAATCCACCTGCAGGGTTTAGCAAAACAATCCTTCACGAACTCACTCCGGGTACATCATCAAACTAAGACACATGGTGACCGTAAATATCCTAACAGCACATCCTATATATATATATATTAATATTACCCAAAACTGTAGGAATATTAATCTAGCGAACTGAACCTCACCCAAGTGAATCAAAGTAATATGTACTACATATATATGCTTGTTTAATATCTTACGGGTTAAGAGAACGCAGTAATTAACCGAGACCTAGTTCGTTTACGACGATCAGTATAAAATGAACTTCTCCTCTCTCGGATCCTCTTCAATACATAAATGTACTAGTGCAACAAATTAGTCAAGACAAACTGTACAGTTGACACTACAACCGTTCGGATGGGGTGTTCATGTCCATCTAGGTTGTGAACCACAATTCTTGTTTTGCAAGTAACTGATAGAATGATCTTCGGTTCGCCCGATGACGACCCATTCTATCTAAGTGCAAAACAACAGAACATAGAACTTGTTTAATCTAACATGATTCTCATTCATAAAGGGCAAAAGCGTAATAACATGCAAAGTCAGGCTTTCAGTATATAACACTAACAACACACACATTTGACAGAACACACAAACCACTGATGCACACCTCCACCACCGGCGTTGACCTACGACTACCGCCATCGGCATACTGGCCGGTTGTGTCACCATCGCAACCAACCACCAACAGTCCCACCACCAACCTCCACCAGCCCATCCACTAACCATCAACAGCTCCGCCAACAACCACCACCAGATCCTCCCCCAACCACCACCAGCCCCGCCACCTACTCGAAACACCACCAGCCCCACCATCGACACCAACCACCACCAGCCCTGCCACAGCCGCGAACAAACCCGCCACTGCACAACCACCGTCTGCAATTATCACCACCGCCATATAGCCTCTCCAGCCAACACCAACGTTGCTGTCAATCTTCGTCTCTGATGCCGTCGGCGCCGTCCATCTCCTCTCTGTGTGTCGCCATCTTCGGTGTCCAAGTTCAGGCAATTTCCATAAGCGCCGTCCATCTCCTCTCTGTGTGTCGTCAATGGAACACCTCCGAAAAATGAACAATCCGCCACGCTGGCCATAGACGCCGGCGGCGATTTGAATTTAGTGGTGAGATGTCACCCAGAATTTCCTCTGTTCTTGCTGTCCATGAAATCGATTTTGGAATATGAAATGGATATGGGAATAAATGAACTATTTTACCAATACAACTAAAACAACACTGGTCATTTCTTTAAAAAACTTTAATTATAATACAAATTAATTAATGGTTTAAATATGTATAATATATTATTAAAAATATAATAAATATAAAATACTGATAAATGAATGTAAATATATATATACTAGTACGTACCCCGTGCGATGCACGGAATAGAAATATTAAATAAGTTATTTTCATAGGCTCTGTCCGTTTATGACTAAATTGTAAAAGGGTTAACATCTATTTTCTACCTCTTTTAATCAACGTTAAGTCTAAAATACAATAGGGTTATAATATCGTTTTCACTTTTTTTAATCAACATTATTTTTTTAGCCATAACATTAAATATGAGCATGTTGGGGCTAGCTTGTAATATAATTAATATATTATCTCACTAATACATTTATACTAATATAAATTTAATTTTAGTATATATATTTATTCCTTTATATAAGAGAAAATAACAGTTTTACTTATTCTTTATTCACCAATCATTACAATTATATTAGCCATTTTTCTGTTAAAAAAAATTTCTATTTTTATTTAATCAGCTATTTTTTTATTAAAGAATAAAAACTGCCAAATATTTCAATTCTATTCCAAATTTATCTTTCTATAAGTTTTAGAATCTGAGAAAAATAAAAAATGAACATGCAATAGCGCTATGATATGTTTAAAAATGTATCAACTTTTTGTTAAAATAATAAAGGGCCAACCCCGTGTTTTTTAAAAAACACGGGATTTTATGTAACAAATTAATGTACTGGTATGGATTTTTTAACAAACTAATGCTTAACAAACTAATGAAACAATCCCTGTTTTTTGGTCATCTAATGCAACAAACTCCACATGGTATGGACTGCATTTAATGTTGTGTTTAAAAAAAATATATTAATTGCCATTAATGACAAGTCATTAATGATAAGAGGCTTTGACTATAGATTTGACTTGCCATTTTTGGTAAATAGTAATTCTTATTATATATATATATATATATATATATATATAGATATATTAAAAATAATCCAACATCGAACCGTAATAACCAAAAACTTTAAAATATAAAACGATAATCAAACCGACATATAAAGTTTCGAACCGTAAATTTTATTTCGTTCAGTTTCTATATAAAGATATCGTGCACGACTTTAATTTTAATATGCAGTATAGCAGACATTCATTGAACTGATAGTATTTTTTTACCATATTCTAAATTAAAACCGAACATAAATGATTGATTTAGCAGATCAGTTAAACAATCTAACCAAAAGACTCGATATAAATTATTATGTATATTTCTTATTTATAACACTGTAGTTAGTATTTTTAAATTGAAAGTAAAAAAAATAGATCATCGGGCATATTTTACATTTTTGAATCGAAGATTTTAGTTTGGACGATTTCGATCGCTAATGTGCAATATAATAGTCATTTATGTGCAACCTGTCTATTATTATTGTTAATAATAATAATAATAATAATAATAATAATAATAATAATAATAATAGAAACAAAATATAAAAGTTCGTACCGAATTTATGTTCGTTGGTTCTCCTTCGATTTTGTGAAACCTGGTAGTCATTTATGTGCAATTCGTATATCCATAATGTGCACTCACAATACATGCAAAAAATTTAAATAAAAAATAATATTATTTTTCATAACAAAAAGTATATATAAAAAGATTGGTAATATTTTTCATATAGTTTGGCATGTTCAATTATTATATTTAAAAAAGACTATATTCGACATTTAGCCGACTAATATTTTATTTAATCGATTAACAGAATTACTGTATATTTTGGTACGTGCAGCGTGTTGTTCTATACGGTACAACTTGTTGTGTTATAAAGTGCAACATATTACTGTATAAAGTTCAATGTATTAATTCTGGTACGTTAGAATGCTTGTGTTTTTTGTGGATAGGTGATGCAATAAGGTGCAACATACGGTCTTATAAAGTGCAACGTATTATTTTATAAAGTGCGACATTCCGATATATAAAGTGCACTTTCTAATTTATACATTCTAATATAAATTATGTGTATTTGAAAACTAATTTTAATAGATATAATACAGAATTGACCTAATTAATTGAAGGGGTTTTATCAATGTAAGGCCCAAAAGATACCTAAATTATCAATTCAAGACCTGAAAGTTTTCTTTTCTCAATTCGGGGCTTGGATGGTATGAAACTATCAATGTGAGGCTTAAAACTTAACAGCGCCGTTAACAAGTTCTGATTCTCAATATTATAGTTGATAGCCTTTTTATTGTCGTTGTTTTGCTTTCCTCTCCAGCCTCTGCGCGTGCTCGGCGATGCAGTATTGGCATCGTTCATCTTCCTATTCTCATTCCCTTAACCCTGAAACCAAAGAAAAATGATCAGTATATAACAAAAATGAAATCAAAAGAAAAAACAACACTCCAATTTGTAGATACTGTGTGCAAATGAATAATTACCTAGCGACGACCGTCGAACGCACTGAACAGAACAACAAGGCTTAGGAACGCACTTGAAACAGATAAAAAAAGATTTGTTTGTGATCTGTAGAGGAAGAAAATAGTGATTCGATTTCAGATAGAAGGGGAAGGTGAAATCTAAACAAAACATCAAATCAGATTAAATAAATAATTAAATCGTGAACAGATCGAATTTTGCTCTATGAAAAGTAGGCGGAACGGTGGCAGAGTCATGAACAAATCAAATTTTGCTCTATCGTTAACAAATTCTTTCATGTGAAATAGCGGAACCGTGGCGGAGGTCGGCGGGTCGACAGTCGGTTCTGAGGTGAGGCGTGATGACCGGCGGTTTTCTTCGACGGGGTTGCATCTCTGACAGTGGCTCGTGGTGGCGTGTTCGAAGGCTGGAGAGGGGTTCTCAGATCCGTGGTCCGGTTAAGGGCAGTGGTGGTCGGGGTGCAACTCGTGGCGAGTGACGACCTCACTCGGTGATGCAGCAGGGTGGTTACCGGCGGCGCTGCGACGGAGAACAATGACCTTCAGTGGAGGGTACCGACTGAAGCAGACGGTCCGCGGCTGCTCGCGAGGTTGACGCCGACGAGAGTGGACGACGAGAGGCCTATGTCTTCAACAGATCGGCCCTTGACGGAAAATAACAGACTGGTTTGGCTGCTGAGCAGCGGACGTCCCACGACAGCGGTTGGAGATAGTGCTCTGGCTCGGACAGACGGGACTTTTTGGTTGATTCTTCTATATTTGATTTTGTGTGGCATCTGCATTTTAATTAGTTGAGTTTCTTGAATTTGATTCTTTTGTATTTGAGGCTTGAATGAAAAACCATATGAAAAATCTCTCTCCATGAATTTCTGTGGTGTACCAGAAAAAAAAATTATGATAAGAAAGGATTTGTTAACGGTTGTTACGGTGCTGTTAATTTTTAAGCCTCACATTGATAGTTTCATATCATCCGAGCCCCGAATTGAGAAAAAAAAAACTTTCAAGTCTTGAATTGATAGTTTATGTATCTTTTGGGCCTCATATTGATAAAACCCCTTAATTAAAATATCTTTTTATTTATATTTTTATTTTATAATTTATTTATTATAATAAATATTTTTCATATTATTTTATAAATTTATATTACTTTTCTTCATATTTTATTTATCGTTTAATATATATGAATAACAAAATATTTTAAAAAATAATTAACTTTCAGTAAAAATAAAATCATATGACATATGATTAAGCTTTAGTCAAACACGCGGTGACATTTCTATAATTAAGTGGACTTTTAATTTTTCATGCGAGGATATTTCAGTCATTGCACGAATATAAAGTGCAATATCACATGCACAAAAGTGCAATCTGTCTAACAATAAGGTGCAGTTTGTATAGTTCTATTTTTAATGTGCAATTCAGAACATTATATAGTGCAATACTATATACATTAAAGTGCAATTATTCAAGTTTTATTAAATTACATATTTATCCCATGATCTAAATTGTAATATAATTAAAGATTTTAAAATTACAACTAGGTCCTTCAAATCTATCTAATTTTTAAAATTTGTTCACCCCTAAAATTGAAGGTGCCGCCGAATTTCATAAATCAACTGCTGACCACTGTGTGTCTATGGCATCCGCCAACGGTTGCCGCAGGACCAGCCTTCAAACAACAAGCAAAGTAAGTCGGAGAGTCTCGACCTTAATTCGATTTTGACGGCAGCGAATATGATGCAAGCCAGTCGCGGGCGGCCGATTGGCTAGGATTTTGTGGCGATTTGATTGAGGTTATGGCGCCAGTGAAAATGACGACGGCGATTCGCTTCACGAAAGTGAGATGGGGATGGAGTGCTGAGGAAGATGATATATCAGTCTTCGATCGTCGGGCTTGTAGGTCGATTTCCATGCGGTGGAGTGGTGGCCGGTGGAGGTAGATTCTGGCTTGCAGAGGCTTCATTCTCTGAGGCGGTGGCAGCTGAGGAAGGTGGTGGCGGAGGCGATGCTGGCGGCGGCAGGCGGTGACTGATGGGCTGAGCTTGTGACGGGAAGNCTTAATCAACATAAATGTTTGGCTTTTTTTAGCTGTTCGATTATCCGATTGGACGGTTTCGATGTATTCTTATTTCTTTCACCGAGCACCATAATATATATATATATATATATATATCTAATATATATATAGAGAGAGAGAGAAAGAGAGAGAGAGAGAGATAATGAAAGAAATAAAAATGATTGTAGACCATTAGATTCTACATATCAATGGTTAGGATGAAGTCAAAATTGGTCAAATACACATATTTGACTACTTAATAGGGATAAATTAGTCATTACATATATACACATTAATCATTGGGCCCATCATAAATTCCAACCACCACCATAAATTCCAACAACCACACTACACTCACTCTCTCATATTTTCAGTAAAAAAAAATACACACTACACACATTACACACATGCAGATCTGCACACACACACAC